CTGTATATATTACAAAGAAAAAATGACTGATCGTCGATACTGATCGAGAGAAGGATAGCTTCTAACTCCGTAGAACATGCGATGAGTGAGTGTTTTACATCGTTTCGAACGAAAACTGCTATTCCTCCTCGTCCACGGCGTTTATCACATCTGTACAGAGAATAATTTTTTATATTCATCTCGATATCAGAAATCCTTGATGAAAGAAACGTTTCTTGAAAACAAAGAATCACCGGATTATGTTCAAAGGTATACTATTTGACTATATCAAGATGTAATGAGAGACTCTGGATGTTGTGGCTTAAGATTTTAAGTTGGCGAGAAAGTTGAGGCACAAAAGGTGAGGCATGTGGAGAGAGTTTAGAGGTAGAGGACACGCGTGCATCAGAATCATACAAACTAGCAGAGACACACACATCTAAGGCATCCCGATAGGCTCCTGGTCTAGCATACACGCCAAACTGCTACTTACGAAAAACTGAAGAAAGGTATTTTCTAAACGTGTTCATAAGTACTTGATTACCTGTAGAGTTCAAATGGATTCCATCTACCTTTAAATGTTGCTGTTTTATATCAAAGCGATAATATCGAAATGAATTTTGTCCTTTAATTTTTGTTGTTTCAATTCAAATAATAACTCGTTAAATTTATTGGCATGCTCATGAATATCTCCGTAAGACGGCTTTTTTGTACGAAATGGAATTGCTGATATTGACAGCTGAGTATCAGGATAATAGGATGAAAACGTGTCGACAAATTGAGAGATTTTGGAAATCGCTATTGAAGCATTAAAGCAGTGTTCTTGTATACGGCATCTTGAGGGCAGTTCCGGCCTCCTGATATTAATTCAGAACAAAACTAGACAGAAGTACATTGATTTTCCTTTTCGATGTTTAATAATTCGGAGTCAATCGAACCTTTGCTTCAACCAGAGATGTCGGATGAGTGGGTTACGGTATGGGTACCCCTGGGTTGGAGCATCCATGGGTTACCTTTAACCCAGCCCTGGCGGGTTGGGTTGACTATTTGAACGACCTCAACCCTGACCCACCCACCCAGATTCGAAGGCAATTTTTGTCGGGTCACCCATGGGTAACCCTTGGGTTAACCCATTATCACCATCTATATTTCCAAAAAATCGTTATAAAAGAGTTTGTTGGATGAAGCTTTCGTTATGATATGACATCTATGATTCATCAGTACCTTAATATTTATTGGTCGATCTAGTGATTAAGTGTAACATACATACATATAGCTTATTTCGTCTTTTATTTCTCTCTCTAGTCTTCGTCTCTTTTCTATTTTTCTCGTTTCGTCGTCGGCGAAGTTGATATCATCACTTCGTTTATTGTCGAAGCCTAGATTCTTTTATTTCTTTTATTAGTATTTATTAGTATATAACGGTTCAACTATTATTCTATATTCTTTGTTAGTAATTAATCGTGTTCTTATTTTATCTCATAACCATGGTAAACATTTTCTTTTTATCCATATGAAAATAAAAAATATATATTTTTTTATCTTATATTCTACACAACGATCTCATATTTATGGACAAACCTTACATAGATAGACTTAAACTTGCATATGTGCCAGTATATAGAAGAAAGTTGAGGGTGAATAAACGTAGGGTTTAACCTAATGGGTGGATTCGCGTTACTCAACCCAACCCTACGATCCATGGGTTGGAAAAAAAAATCAAACCCAACCGGAACCCACCCACAGAGGGACTAGCTGGGTTATGGGTGACCCATGGGTTGGAAAAAAAGCATTTTCCGACATCTCTGGCTTCAACCTTTGTCAACAAAGTGAAAAAAGAAGGGGAGGGGTGCGGCATCCTTAATATGGTTGAGAAAGGTTTGAGACGTAATGTGCGGTTTAGAAAAGATTTAAGAAAATGTCTCTAAAAAAATGATAAAGAGTTCAGTCGTAATGAAATAGCGATGTTCAACGTTAAGTTGTGTTTCCCTTCTTCATATTTTACTTTCGAGGCTTTCTCTGAAAATTCCTATAAACTTATTCTAAAAAAGTTTTCGAATTTTTTAAATATTAAAATTTGCATTCTGTATCACTTATATGACGTTAAAACTGAACTCGATTGGACCATTTTTACGAAAGTAGTCAATAGCTTCGTTGGTAATACTTGTGAGTAAACAGCCTTCAGAGCATTTACGGTGATCCTTATATCTTTGTGAAAAACCATTGGAAAGTTCCGAAACTAGTCTTATTGTGAAGAGAGCACTTTGCTCTATCAGATCATGTATAAGAAAAATTCTTAAAGGTCTTGGAAATAAAAATATTTGATAAAACTACAAAAATGGACATGTATAGGCTCTTGACTAAAAACGTAAAAATTCATACGTTTTGCAAATAGATCCTGGAACTTTGATCTTATTTTGTAGTTCAAACTTTCCTCTGCATTAGGCTATGTTCAACTTAAAATCAACAATTGTGAGAAAAGAGGACGGGAAGGGAAGAGCGTCCTATTAGATTCATTGCTTATTATTCACATAACTCTATCGAATCAGTAACAATTTTATCGATCTTTTTAGAGCATTTTTTGCAAATTTGTCTGATCTCTCATAAATATGACACGACGTTACACAAGCTCAATATCGTACGCCACACAACCTTAGATATACAGTTTGGACAATTGCAGTCTACTTTATACCCTAATTATTTTTGATCTGTCAAAATGCGAAGACTGTATAATACATTTTTCTTCTCTACAACGTCATATTTTCTGACTGCACAGACTATAAATACGCGGCATTCTAAAGCGTTTCACACTGTAATTTAGAATTGCAAGTTCATCTCGGACATTTATTTACAACGAATAGTTCAGATTATGATGATTTTAGAATGAATTAAAATCATCAACAAGTCGGTGATTCACAGTGAAATTCGATAGGATACGGAGCGGGAGGGAGATGGAAAGATGAGAGTGAGTTCATCTGCGGGAAAAAGTGTATTTCTCTGATTTTCTGCCTTAAAGGTACAGACTTTCTGCTCCCATTGCAATATTTTCTAAAATAATAATTCTCTATCAATTACATCAGACAACATAGCAGAGCAACCATGCACTAAATTTTTGGACAAATAGTAAAACAAAGAAAAGAGAAGGCGAATTTCGAAAAAACACAAGATACGAAATGTGATCACTTCCTCATTCTATTTGTAGCCGATGTGATACAAGAGACATTTTCAATTGTCATAACCTTATCGTTCATTTATGTCTTTGGTCAAACAAATTAAACTTGACCTTTGTCGAAAGTGACTAAATTTTATCTCTAGTGTTTTGCTGGCATCATGTTTACCGTGTAACAACACTACTGAAACAAAACCCCTATAAAAGTGCAGCACTAACCCCCACTCAAAAAAATAACAACCAGCAATGCCATTCAATGTCTAAAATTCTAAAACGAACAGCTGAAATCTTTGTTCTTAGTTTTAGGTATATTTTATAATGTAAAATACAAGGGAATTGTCCATGACAGCTAGGCATAGAGCAGGTAAAGTGTTTTAGGTCATGCTGAACCATTCGCGAGTCATCTATAATGGGCAGATGAAGTACTCGAAGTGGTAGTAGAATAGTTCAAGGACAATCAATTCATTAATTTAAGTTTTTAGAAGATCGTATATTTTTTCCGAAAGGACACCTTAGAATAGTCCTACATCAGTCATTGCATTTTCTTATTGGGATCCTATTCGGATTTTAACACAATCCTGGCAAATTCTACAACTTTCAAGTATCCATTGGAATTTATCTAAAAGATCTATCTAAAAGTACACTAAATCCTGAAAGGACCATAGTAGGATTTCTCTACGATCCTATCGAGAAATGTATAGGTTTCTTATTAGATTTGACGTTGTGACGTAAATGAACAGACGTTTACACAGACAAACTAACGTTATTTTACATGTAAAATCAAGTCAATCCGTCCAAAATAGTGTGCCTTTAAAAAAAATTCTTGAAATTGTGATCAATATACCTTTTCGTTGCAATTTAAAAAGAACACGTATTGTTTCTTTCGTTCTGTGTTCGCTGCTGATTAGACTATAATTTTACGTAAATAAGAAGCGAGAAAACTTTTTTTTTTATATACTCTACTCTGAGCAAAAATTTATGTATATCATGTATACACCTTAAAACATACATTTATGCATAGTTGACTAGAGATTCGTTATACACAACAGTCACTCTCTTTTTTCCTTTTTTCTTTTATTTGGAACTTCATGTGTACGTAAGATGACATCACCTATTTAAACAACAACTGCATTTCTCAACTTAACATGATACATCGTTAACAGACATAAATTGTACAAAACTTAAGGTAAAGACAATTTATATTTTTTTCCTTCCTCTCCCAGACTAAATATATGTTTTAGCACAAATTAAGTCTGTTATTCTGAATCATTCTAAAATTTAGAGAAATATTTATTATTCGTCAAACACTCAACAGGAGAAGAAGAAGAAAAAAAACTGAATATTCTTTATAAACTCATTCTTTTCTTTTATATTTTAAGTTTCTATGTACATGTTAATAACTATACACTCTACCATGAATAAAGAATTCATATTTCTAGTACAATATTAAAAGTACAAAATAATAAAAAGATTACGTGGTATGAAAAATTAATCGTATTTTTTTTTCATTTTAACTGAGATCGATGATAATCATTGTACCCATAAAAAAAAAAATAAACAAATTATTGTTCTTGACCTGCAAGAAAAATTTGATATTTTTTATTAACAACATTAGTTAATGACAATAAAATTATGAAAGAAAACCTAAAAACAAAATAGTAAATTTCCTTATTTTTTCGTTTTGAAGTTATGAACTAATGAATTTTGTTTTCTCTTTTTCTTCTTCTTCTACTATTTAATCCTCGATTTTATTTTTTTATTTTTTTTACTCTCTTTTGTTTCTTCTCTCTTTTAATTTAGGAATTTCGATTCGAATGTATACTAATATAAATTATACGCGATCTAATTTCGAATGTTTTGGTGGTATTCAACACGTCGACAAGATTTCTTGCGTACTGGTCTATTGATTGGTATTATTTGGTTAACATTGTATACATATCAATTATACTATTTTTATAGAACTGATGTACGACAATATCAACAAAAACAATATTCATATTTAAATCATAAATTTTATGAACGTATTCTATGTTTTTTTATAAATAATAAATATTGTTTAAGACAACCAAAAACATTATCATCAATATATGATCGTAATTTATCAAATATTTTACGAGAACAACCATTATTATATCAATATGCAATAGCACCACATTTTATTAATTTTAAAAGTTTATTAAAAACATTTATACCACGAATAAATAAACAATATTTAGTTTATGTTTGTGATAGACCATGTGGTGGATGGGGTGATAGAACAAGAAAAATTGTTGGCGCTTATTTATTATCATTAGCATTAAATCGAACATTTATAATTAATATTACATGGCCATGTCCAATACTTGATATTTTTGAACCAAATATAATTAAATGGAATTCAAAAATATATCAAAATAATAAATCAACAAATTTAACTGTATTAACTCTTAGTGCAACTGATAATGATTATCGTGAAGTATTAAGTTGGAAATCATATGATATTATTTATTTTAAAACAAAAGATTTAGGTTATTATTCAATGTTATTATGGCGAGATGATTTATATCAAAGATTACAATATTATGGTTTTCAACGTTCAACATTATTTATTCATAGTGTATTTACATTAATTTATGAATTATTATTTAAATTAAAAAAACATCCTAAAAATCATATTGATGATATTGTACATAATTATGAATTAAATAATGAACGAACAAATTTATTTTGTGCACATATTCGAATTGGACGAAATCCATCAAATCCAAATGATAATATATTTCCTAAACGTGAAAAAATGAATATAACTGTTATTAATTTTCTTCGAAAACAATTAAATGATCAATGTAATAATAAAACATTATCATCATTATGTAATTATACAAAAATATTTGTAACAACAGATTCAGAACAAGTACAAACATATGTACAAAAACAATTTGGAAAACATTTATTAAATATTGAAGGTCTCATTCGACATATTGATCGTGCAGCTCAAAAAGTTGCTTGTGAATCATTAGAAAAGACAATTTTAGATTTTCAAATGATTAGTTATTGTAATTCCATGATCATGAGTAAAAGTGCATTTAGGTAAGTAAACGGATATATTGTAGATTTTGTCATAATTTGTTTTGTTTTTTTAATCTACGATGATATATTCATAATCTTGTCAGATTGTCTAGATGAGGATAAATAAGTATTCTTGAGTCAAGCTATTATTTCATAGCGATACACAATTTAGTTGTGTATTTGATTGTATAAGAAAAATAACAGTAACAAAAACAACTCGTTTTCTTGTTTCATTTAAGTTTTCTTTGTAGTTTTTGGTCAAATGTTCGACGATTAAAACCTTATGAGAAGACGTATATTTATTGTGATGGTATTAAAAGTATAAGACGAGCTGGTGATTATGAAAAATATCCATATGGATCATGTTGATTTAGTTTATTATACGCGTACATATTCACCAATAAAAGAAAACCAATTGACGTACGAGTTTTAACTAGATGAATACAAGAGCAGACGAAACAGGAGAAATGTATTTTGTTAAAAAGATATAAAGTTTAGTATGTTGAGATTTTATCTGAAGGAGACAGGAACTTCGAATTCAACAATTACTAATGTTATTACAATGTGCCCCGGTCTAACGGTTCTTCATTACATTATTCGGTTACCTATTGTGATGATCATATTGTTGCTACCTACATCAAAGCTACTAATGTTTGCATCTCAAAAACCTTGGGAAAGTTACTCGTGTATACGTGCCTACAGACGACTTCTTTGTGATGTAATACATAGTTCCTCTAGCCTGTTCTAAAAATTAAAATTTGCGTTAAAAGTTAAGTGACACATCGTTGTTTATTGAATAGCTTTTGATAGAATAAAGGGGGGCGACCTTCGCAAGGAGTAAGTCCAGTTATAGACGTTCAAAGTCCAACAAAATTCACGTAAGTCCAGGGACTTATAGGGACTTTTATGGAGTTATGTGGACTTACGTAGACTGCTGACGACTTACGTCGATTTAGATAGACTTTTCTGACCTTTACAGACTTTATTAGACCTGAAAAAGCCCATTTTACTTTGCACTTTGAATTTCGGTAGACTTTCAAAGTTTATTTAAGTCTACGTAAGTCCATTGACATCCATAAAAGCCCAAAGCCTGTATCTTTCCCCTTGCACTTCTAGCTTTCAATGTTTGTTTTTCGGAAAAGGTATAAAACCTAATGAAAATCTGTTTTATCAGAAAATGTTCGATTATAGGCTGTTGTCATTTGCTTAAAAACTTTCATACCTCACTCATGAAAAATCTCTGCGCTGGTATAGCCTTCTGAGTAGAACTGTGGTTAATAAGCCGTCTTAACGAAGATTGTTAGATGCAGGGACGATATCGAACTACTTCAAACCGATGCCGGCATTTAAACCGATAAAGCTTTTAAAGTTCTATATAAATTTCACACTATCTTTATTTTTTGTATATAACAAGTATAACATCTAAGAAAGGGATTTCGAGGTATCTTGCTTCTTATTGTGAATTTCTCAAACAGTTAACAGATATTTGGGATATTTTTGTAAACAGATTTCGAAAGAACAAACATTTTTAAGCATATCTGACGGTTTGATCGATAACAATACTTTATTATAATGAATCAAAAATTTGTGGAGAAATTATCGGATTTGTCAGTGATTCTGTTGTCAATTCGTTGATTTTTTTATAAAATCATTAGTTTTGTACTTTCTCCACAATACATGCATCCTATCATGTTGATCGCGAACACCTATAGATAAAATACAAAATCTTCAAGGAACTTTTACCTATATTCAAAAATTTGTTCTAAAAAGCTAAAATAATGTAACGATAGAACGAATATTCTCAGACATTACTTGGACATTCTCAGAGCGTTCTCTTTATATTTTTAAAAATTTAAACATTTAAATAGACGCTACTGTATAATAGTACAAAAAACGTTGATGCCACTTATGCAGTTTTTTTGAAAGTAAATTTGTTCGGTTCTGCTTATTATACGTACAAAGCTTCTCTTGTTATTGAGCTGTTGTCAATAACTTATTCATATCAAAAGTGTGCCCACATACTACAATATTTGCACTAGAAATAGGAGTATACACATAAAACAGACAACTGAAAGCAGACACGTTTCTTTTTAAATAACGATTTCGTACATCGAAAATTGTAGACAAACTCAATTACGTGAATTTCCAGCAATATTCTTTTACTTCAGTATTCATCTTGCTGATAAGCAGTAATTTCATACTTTAAGGGGAAGCCCTCCCATTTGCATTTGGTTCAAACTTTGCCACATTGTAGAGGACATTTCAAAATATATATGAAAAGAGTTTCAAGATTTACGGACTTGTAGTTTTCTAGAAAAACGGCTTTCTTTTTGCGCATTTTTTAAAATTTAAAACTCCTCGATTTTGTAACCAATCGATACAGCGCATCGAGACGTATGTGTGAAACGATTATTATCGTTCTTGAGCATGGTCTGGCGGAGAAACTCGAATTTGACCTTGAGAATGAATTTTGGGGGTCAAAAGTGCTCGAGATCCTTCACATACGAAATCAAACTGAAGTGTCAAAAATCGAAAAAGCTAAAGATTTTCAGGCTGATTTTTCAGAAACCCGGAGCGTAAAATCCAGGACTTTGAACAAAGTTTCGCTCGGATGAAGCATTTAAAAGGAAAACTGTTCAGCATCAAACTCTGCGTATAACAACCGAAGAAATTTTTGAAATTCGTAAAACTCAATTGTTAAATTAAATTTTACGAAAATTTAAACTTTAAAAAACAGTATTTTGGAATTTAAAAATCGAGTTTAAGAAGTTTTGGAATTTCCTTCGGCTGTTTCACCCAGAATTTGATACTGAACAATTTTTGTTCCATGGCTTGTCCAGCTAACGATCTCCATTTTTTGCTCTTTTTCGAAAAGTTATTGCCATAAAGCTACAAACTAATCTAAAATGGCAACTAGATGATTAAGTAGATTAAACATTTCTCTATAAATGAAAATTGTTCGCTCTACACGATGTGATAGCTTATCAAGCTCAAAACTATTCTAATTAATTTGTATTAATCAAAGAAAAACCAGAAAAACGGTAACGTTGTGACACTTTTGATCGTTTTTTGAGAAAAATATTTTTTGTGCCCGGCTTTTTCATTTATTTGTGCCCGATGCTACTGATTAGTGCCCGGTCCGAGTACAAATATATGTTTTCATGCTTTTGTGCCCGGAAAAAGAAATGTGCCTGGTTTTTGTT